CTCCCTCTGAGAGGCGTGTAGGGCAGAACAGGTAGCCGGAAAGCTAGGGCAAACGGCTAACAACAGCTCGGAAAAGTTGCCGTAGAACAGCTGATGTGTCTCATTGCGTGTTTCCTGCGCGTTTCCTGCGTCACCTGCGCCAGATACGGAAAGAGTTTTGAACAGACCTGAGCGGCGGCAACACGCCAATCGCAAATGGTGCGTGGCTGCCATTTGCTAAGCTTTCATGGTCTTTCATATAGTTCCTCACCCTCGCTGTGGGGTTGTTAGATTTTAAAATAGAGCTTGTCCTCGCCCGAGTGGAAGCTGACTTTCCCGAGCAACCACCACGTACCCGTGCAGTGCCGAACCACCAAGTATCCCTGCAGTGCCCAACCGCAGAATATCCTTGTAGTAGAATATCCGTGCAGTGCCCAACTGATTATTTACTTCGAGCATCCCCACCCTAAAGCCGTCATTTCATTGCACAAGNNGTATATAACGTTTCCCTGCCCCCTGTCCACACGCCGTGTGCCGCGATTCGGGCTGTGGCAGGAGCAGGCCCAGCAGGACCTCACGCAGGTCCGAACCAGGGCGGCCGGCATGGCAATCCCCACGCAACGGCAGCTCCAGCAACGGTGTTGCAAAAACTCGCTGCGGCGACAGAGAGGAAGCGTTGTGCCCAGGCGCCGCGGGCGGTGGCGCATGGGGTGGTGGCGCACTGAGCCGCGGGCGCCATTGCGCACCTTGCCAGAGGAACAAGCGGTTGCATACGATCTCAATCCGCCTGGCTTCATGCACAGGGTTATCGAAAGGGCTGTGGCAATGGCAATGCGGCAGGAAAAAGGCGCAGCCCACGCACAGGAGCACGCGGAACAGTCACTGCGGATGATGGTAGCCTTTTTACGCGTAGGCAGCATGTTCAAGGCACGGACAGCAGCATTACTCGGGATGAGGGTCGTAGAATATTTGCAAGGATGCCAGAAACCCCACGGGCCGCACTTGTGACCATTGACATTGTTCGACACGCAACGGGGAGGCGAAGACGCGACAAATGCCAACGTGGCGGACACAGCCCATCCGTGTGATTTTTGACATTTTTTACAAGGGGCAAAGAGATGACGGTCCGAGGCAAAAAAGAAAGACGAACCCAGAAGATGGCGACACCCAGGTACATGCCATGGGGGACTGACTTGCTGGCTGGCGGGCTGACGAAAATATGAGGGCCCAATAACGACAACCAAAAAAAGGATGGCAACCCCAGGAATGTTGACATTCGTGACGGCGACGAGTCGAGACGAGGACAGAAAGGTCCAAAAGCCATGACAATTTATGGCCCCTGATTGTCTAAGGGGGTAAGGCGGGGGTAGGGAAATGAACCTATTTCAGTATTTCAAGCGCAATGGGAACAAGTGGAACGCGGTTAAGGGGACTGAAGGTAACCCTTGCTGATGGATGCGTTGGCATCCATAGCAAGCAGAAAACTAGTATCAGCACTCGCGCGCCGAAAAAATCGTAGTAGTCGTACTGGTGGTGGTATTAGGTAGTATTCGTCGCCAAAACAGTAACAGTAACGGTAACCGTAACAGTAACAACAGGAGTAATTGCTCGTTTGACGACACTGATCGGCCCTTTGCTGAAACAAATGCTCCAAGTCCCCTGAGGCTCTGATGCTAGTTCGACTCTCAGGATGACGAGTGATGCATTGCAGAAGGGAATGCAAGAAAGCAACCACGGAGCTGTTCCTTGAACAAGGGGTCGTGCCACGGAGCTCAGATGCCATGGTTGCATGGAGGTCGCTGATTGACGTGCATTGTGTATGCAACCAAATGCCACGCATGATGAGCCGACCCACTCCCAAGTCCGGGGGAAGGCGCCGTAGACTAACAGACCTCTTCACCAGAACAACATCTGTTCCTCGTGGTGTGAGGGTTCCGGTCCTATCCGCAAGGTATAGGAGAAGCCACCGACAGGCTTAGAATTGCACATTACGCCGGCTGAAGCTTGCGGAGAACAGCCTCACGCGTGCGCGGTTCCCATCCAACTCAGGTTGGACAGTACGCCTTGCGGGCTATGCCTTTTTGCGTGCCGTTCTCCGGCGACATGCTTTCTTTTCAAGCTGGTTGGTGTGCAGGCAGGAAAGCTCCGGGAGTTTTCTCTGCGTCAGGATTTGCTGCTAACTGGTGTTGCTGGCTGTTCGGCCGCCATGTTTCACTAATTCGGATTGCCTGGATGATTGTCAATGGGTGCTCCATCTTTGGGAATGTTGCGTCATTCACGGTGGATTGTTCGCTCCTGCTTCACATGGCCCTCAAGGAGCTTGTGATACGACAGGCCTGCAATGCAGAAGGTTGAACGGCTATTTGCGCGATGCGATGAGTCCTTGTAGTACCAACGTGCTGTGGAGATCTATGGCTGGAAGCTCTCAGAAGGCGACTCCTCCAGTGGGCTGACGTTTCAGTGAGAACTTGCTGTATAATGTATAGCGTAAGAGCTCGCTCCTGTTGGATGTGGACTGGAACTTTTGCTGGCTATTCGTAGCACATCTCTTATCTCACCGTGATCATTGTGGTTCTGGTGCTGTCGAAGCGCCGGCGTTAGCGTGCGGCCACGGGAATGAGCACGTGTCTGTTCACAAGCTGTCTGATCGACTGACTGACTGGCTGTGGTGGCATAGTAGTAGTAGTAGTAGTAGGAGTAGGAGTAGTAGGAGTAGGAGTAGGAGTAGGAGTAGGAGTAAGAGTAGGAGTAGGAGTAGTAGTCGTCAGTAATAGTAATCGTTAACTTCATAGTGCTACTTGCTGTTGGTTGTTTCAATACTTTTGCAGAAAAGTAGGTCTTGGAAAAAGGAAATTGGGGGACCCCTGCCAAAGAAACAATGACCTGGCGGACCTGGCTGTCCCCCTCCAGGCGCATTTCCAAAATCTAATACTAGCAACAGAGTAGTATTGCAGCAAAGAAGTAGTCCTGGGGTCAGAGGGTTGGAGGACTGTTGTAAAGGCCCCGCCATAGAAAGATTGACTTGAGATGGCAAACCTGAGGCTGGGGGTCGCCCCCTTCATATTTTTGTTATTTTTGTCGTGCCCTCACATCTTCGTCTTAAAGGCGCCAACAGTCACGGGATGGGCATCCTGGCAGTTGCCATCCTCGTGACTGTCATTCCCCCTGTTTAGTGACGGGAAAAGGGGGTGGTTCGTTTTTTCATCTGACGGTTGCATGTGATTTCATGACACGATGCTTGCAGCCGTTGAGGCCTTGGGTGATAGGTTGTCCCATGTTGAGGTGCCCCACTGAAAACAGCTCTTCCCACCTGCCGACAGGCCTTGGTTGCATGAGTCATGCAAAACCTCGCACAGGCCGCCCCCCAAACAAAGGTCCATGTCATTCATGTGCGCTTCCTGCTCCCCAAGATGACCACGGTGCAAGTCGAACTAAAATCATGTATTGTTCTGACGGCATGGTGAGAAGTACCCTCCGCAGAAGGGTTCAATTGCCAGCCTCGTATTTGTCGTACTCTCGCGTCTTCTTAGCGTGTTAAAAATGTCAACAGTCACAGGGATGTCGCTTCCGAGGGTCCCCGTCCTCATATTTGCCGTCGCGTTTGGACCCTCATGTCCTCGTCCCGTGTCAAAAGTGTCAAGTCACCATCCTCGTATTTGTCCTACCCTCGCATCTTCGTCGCGAGTCAACACTCACAGGGATAGGGCGTCCGGGGGGTTGCCATCCTGGCAATTGTCGTCGCTTTTGGACCCTCATATCCTCGCCGCGTGTTGGGGGTTGGGGTTTTCATTGGGGTAATATTGGGGCTATATTGGGGGTCGCAATGTGGGCAATGGCATAGCGATTTGGGGGGAGGCATGGGCCAGGCGCAATTTTCATTTGCGCATGGCATCCTGTCTTGAATTTCTTGTATTGCTGGCGGTAGGCTCCAATGAATTGTAGCTTCATGCATATAATGTAGTATATATAGGTGGCAGCATCGCATCAGGAAATAGTTCTGGGGTCAGGGGGTTGGAGGAGTGTTGTATACCCCCTGCCACAGAACCTGTTATTACCATTATCATGACGACGACTATTATTACCATTACTACTGTTATTACTGCTATTACGCTGCCTTTTGTGAGAGGTCGCACTTATCACACTTGCAGGAGGGCTACTACGTAGTATCATAATTCGGGATCGGAATGCTGAGGGGCCCAAGGGTGCGACAACAGGGTCACGCCGTGCAACCCAATGCGTCACTTGGACCGAAGTTTTGCATACTCACAGAGCTGCTACGCAGCAGCTTCCACCACGTCAGATTGCCGGCTTCCAGCGTGTGAGTTTGTCGGGCTTGCGTACTTGCGCAGCTGGCAAAATCAGTGGTGTAGTGGTGGCTTGAACGTGTGATGCGTTCAGCGCAAATGCTGCAGAGACAGCTGATCGCGCCTGCGAACGCACGATGACGCCATGATGCACCAAAGCCACGCGAAGCTGTTTCAGCAGGGACCGCAGCCCATGGTTGGTGCAGCCTGGGGGGCGCCTCTACGCTTGTCAGTGCTAGAGGCCAGAGGACACATGCGTCATTGGTGGTTAGACGCGTGCGCAAGCGGCTGCGACTCTTTCTCCCACGCCTGGGCCTGTGCGGCGCGCTACAGGTTCAAGTCAGCGGATGGAACGCACATTCTTGGAAGGAACTGTTTTCTAGCTCCTCGCGAGCCAAAGATGCATGGAGCCTCCGTGTCCACTTGCAGTTATGATCGGTCATGACGCACGACGCACTTTTTGCCATAATCGATGCTGCTGTAGTGCAGTCTATAAGAAACCGATTTGGGCAGCTCCTCGTGGTCTACCATCGTAGAGCTACCGGGGTTTATGTACATGTAGCAGCAATCACGGCCAACTCGTTGTTCCATTTGTGATGTCCGCCCCGTGCAGTTTGGCGAAAAGGTTCCTCTATGTTGCTCTGCTCTTCCGCGCTCAAAGTGGGGCAGGTGTGCGAACTTGTTGAAGAAGACGCTTTGGAGTGCATTTCCGTGGCGCTACCCATCAGTTTCCAAAGCCGCCTTGAACTCCTGGCCACAGACACAATCATGTTCAGGTTCAAGGTGAAGCGATCTATACCTGGGTATCGTCTTGGCCTTTAACTCTGGACCTGCAAGCGCAACCTACAGTCCCAGCCATGCAGGCCTCCACGTTGATGCGGCCATCGCCATCTTCATCCAATGCGCGGAAGAGTGCATCTAGCAATGCAGGGAAGCGCGCTCCAATGCGAAGCGACGAGGCTGACGACTTCTTCTCAATGCCCAGCATCCACTCCAATCCACGCTCGACTTCGGCCTGAGGTAATGGGCAGAGCAGTCTAGTCAGCTGCCAAATGTGGGATAGCAGAAAGCGCTGGACCTCTGCTGTGAGACAATGTGAGGCGGAGGTACACGCACCACACCAGCAGCGGCGTCGCGGCCGCCCACGAAATACGATTGACTCCCAGTACTAGAAGAATATATGACTTTCGACTGAGTACTACCGAGCACTACCGATGCTGATTACAAAGTAGGACCACTGCCCTCCGTGTCACCACGTGTCACCACCATCACCTCTTGCTAGCGTGCTTTGAAATTCACGAATCCGGACTGGGGCAGCAGCCATCCCCAGGCTCCCGCAGCTGTGAGTGTCCAGCAGGTGAAAGACGTCTGCCGGCCAAAGCTGCCGTTCTGCCAGAGATCTGCGCAGCCGCTGGAGTAGCGCGTCGCTAGCCAAGGCCTGTAGTCATTGACACTTTCACATGTCAGAAAATGCATAACCCTGTACTTTAGTTGCTATATATGCCATGAAAGTCCTGTGTGCGAACCATAACAGCTGCCAAGGAAGGATTCAGGCATGCTCTGTATTTGCTTTGGATCTGACCCCGGTCCATCTTCCCACCTTGAATTCATCTCTCTCCACGAACACAGGGCTGATCGGTAGCCTAGTCAAGCGCGCGAGTGCAAGCACGAGCACACCCAATATTGAATTCTGAGTCTTACTGGCTGCTAAAGGGAAAAAGCCGGGTGGTGACCTTCTCAATGCCAACGCGAACACAACTTGCGAAGGCAGCCTAGCAAGCCAACTTAACGGGCTAGCCAGTACCGTGCTGTGCGGCATGGTAGCTATATAAAAGCTTTGAAGCATGTGCTTCTGTCAATACACGCATGTGAGGCATGTGATGCGAAAGCAGAACCTAGTCAAAGGCCAGCGCCACGGCACTAAAACCCTTCAGCCAGAAATTCATGCGCAGCCATGGACCTGGCCTCTTCCATGACTCCCTTGTACGTCGACGACACCGGCGGAGATCCTGCCACCACCTTCAGGCAGGTCTTGGAGACTGTAAGAGAATGGCAGTCCCTGCAGTAAAGCCTCAGTCGCTTCTCGGGCTCCGCCCGGCGGATGGCCCGAAGAAGGATATGCAGCTGTGAGCGCGGAAGGTCATCGCAGTTGGTAAAGTGGAAGCACTGCTCGGCTGCCTGTGGGACAGAGCGCAAAACTGAGAAGCATTGCAACGCGCATCGCTGTTCAAGGCCTCCAGGTCATGTCGGGGCGCCAGGGCTGCATGCAGGGGCTCGCCGAAGGCGGCCAACACGAAGCGACTCCGGTTCTCGTGACCCAATGTGAGTGGAGACGGTCCCAGGCATCGCAGGGCCAGGCGAGACTTCGAGAGCTCTGGAGCACCCCGGAATTCCAAGCGATGGAGGGCTGCGCGAAGATGTTGGGCCTCCTCGAGGCTGAGAGCCACAAAGAAACGACCTGCCTGGTATTTGTAGAGGGACTGGGTGGCCATGCCACGCTGCAAGGCCCCGAAAGTGCAAGACCTGAGGATAGCTAGAGGTGTTTTCTTCCAAGCGCACAAGTGCTACAGGGCTTTTCATTATGTTGGGTGGACTGGATTCTGTTCATCACCTTTTTGCTGCCTGGCCGCTCATCTGTGCATTCTGTGCCCCACAAACCCAATGACTTGTAAAGCGCAGTTAGATGTTCACCGCAGATGTTGTCACTCGATGCATCTCCCTCATCCAATCGATGTAGCTCAAAAAGCAGGCGAAGCCTTGTCTGGACATGAAAGCACAGCCCGCAGGGCATGGTCTCTCCACCCAGCTAGAGTTTGAAGTTTGAACTATGCTCTATTAGGCCTGCTCTAAGTCAAGTTCAAAATGGCTCCAAGGGTCCACTCAATCTGCTGCTCTGAAAGTTGGCCAGGAAATTCCAGAGGCGTGAGTTGATGCCTATCAGGCACCCACCTCATTCAGTGAGAAAGTGTTCTCGCTCTCTGTTTTTACACCTGACAGAAAGCTGAGATGTTGACTCCAGCATGCAGATGACGTTGCGCAAGCGCCGGGTGGATTGCAGCCTCCAAGCCTACGAAGGACTCGGGGGAGCGCATAGGCATCTCAGTGCATGTTCAACAGCTCCATACAACTTCTAGCGGTCTCAGTGAGAGGTCGCACTTTCTCTTCAGGGGTGTTGGCTGGCATGAGAGAAGTTTGTCATGAAGCTGCTGCCAAGGCCCAAATAGTGTGAAGGAGCGTGTTAGTATCTGTTGCCCTGCTTCCATGCTTGCAAGACCAGGGAGGCTCAAAGGGGTGCCGCAAGGAAACAGAAGCAAGGGTTTCAGGACATTATGGGCCACAATATAGACTTCTTCATTTTCCAACAAAAGGCTTGCACAGCAATGCTGAGAAGCATGGGGTGCTTGTGGAAATGGCCAGGATACAGGGCCATGAACGTCTGGCTTATACGACTCTCGTCCCCCCTAGCCTTGCGGTAGTAGTTGTCGCTCACCATCAGGAAAGAAGGCAACTCGTCCAAGAAGTTGCAATCCCCTCCCATCATGCCACGATGCACTGCGAAATCTGAGAGTGGGTAGAAGGGGGGCGCGGGCGAGTTTGTAAAGGACTTGCTGGGCAGGTGGCCCAGGCTGCCGAGACTCCAGGGCTGCTGTCGCTCATCTGCACGGGAGAACTTCTCATTGGCTGGCTCCTCAGGGAGGCCCTCCTGTTCTTGCTCCTTCTCTTGTTCCTCTTCCTGTTCTTGTTCCTGCTCTTGCTCCTGCTCTTCTTCTTGCTCCTCTTCCTGGACTTGTTCTCCTTCCATGGCATCGCCCTTGGGTGCCTCGTCAAACCAGTCAATTTCGCATTCTGGGGGCCAGCAATCCGCCAGCACAGCCTCGGCTTCTGTACGCTCAGCTGGACTCAACTTCCGCTTGGAGAGCTCCATCCGCAGCTTCTCCTGCAAACCGGCTTCCTTTTCGTTCTGCAGCTCTGCTCTGGCCGGCAATCCGAAAAATTCAGGTCGGCTCCTGAGATCCTCGAGCGCCACCTGTGTGGAGACAGCGCGAAGACTGTCTACGGCACTTTTGTTGTTGGGGTCAATGGCAGCCACGGCCACACTCTCCAGCTTGAGCCGGGCCTTTCGCTTCCAAACGTCGCGGAAGTTCTGTTGGCACAGCAGGCGCTGCTTGCGGCATTCCTGACGGATGCCGTTGGCCGTCGACCAGACCAGCACATAGACCACGGGGTCCGCATCCTGCTGTCGTGTGGGTGAGCTTGTCGGCGAGCTTGGGCTGAGGAAGTTTTCCAAGGTGACGGAGATACGCCCGCTGGCAAGTCTGCAAGCCTTACGGCATTGATGCACAAGCGTTGCTACCTCGGGAGTCATCAGTACGGAAATCCGCTGTCCAGCACCCAGGCCGCGCATGCGATAAGCTCCCTGGGCAAAATCTCGCAGTGTTGTGTCCTTGTTCATGGTAAGCACCGCTCGCCCTGCAGGAGGCTGCTTGATGTCCATGCCCGTCGTGTGGACGTGGTCATAGAAGGTAAAACGTTGAGATGGGGCAAGTCCGCACTGTGCCAGCTCAACAACCTGAGCATCCCCAAGATCTGTAATCACCCGCATATCTCTGGCATTCTCTGGCACATGACGTGGCCTGCTGCTAGTCTGAATCCTAGGGCTGCCACCCTCCATCCGTCACGAAGAAGGACAAGTCGCTCGCCATTCATGCTGAAGAATACCTGGCAGCAGAGCACAAGTCCAGTGCGGTTGCCTGCAGCATGACTGGAAACATGCAGGGGGAGCAACACCAGCAAAGTCCTGTAGACCAACGCGGAGAAGGTAGTCAGCCGTCTCTTGGTTGCTGAGCCCAGTGATCAGTGCCTCAGTTCCACGGAGCTCGTGTCACACAGTTTACGACGGTTGCCAGACTCTCCACGTTCAGCTAAGGTGCTCCCACATCAATGAAAGCATTGAAGCAGGGGCCACCGACACCAGCGGCGAGCTTTAAAAGAGCTCGCGGTGTCCAGTCAGCATCTACTTCCACCACGCTGACCACGTCAGTGTTGGCCAAAGTTCCAAGAATTCGACCGTCAACGCCATCCGCATAGCAACAACGACCCAAGCGACTCGGCAGAAGGTCGTTGGGAGTCCTGCAGGAACCCAAGAGTGAGCTGCGATCTCTCTTCAACGTGGAGGCCTGTGGAGGCCACGTGGAGGCCTAAGAGCCGGTCCCGCTGAAGCCGAGGCAGAGTCCAAACAGCTGCTCTCCCGCCAGGTCCTGCACAGGGCCCAAACTTCCCTATCCCCAAATGCTTTCCCAGACAAGCCACTAGACAAACTCTAGCAACCTTCACATAGTCGTGTACACTTCTTTGATTCCCCGCTCCTGGCCCGCTGCTGTCAGCTGGTGGTCGCTGACATCCACGGTCCCAACGCCCGGCTGCAGCACGGAGAGGAGGAACTGCTCCACCGCACCTGAGATGGCCCGTAGGGAAAAACAAAAAAGGGCGAACAGCAGTATGGCATGGGTAATGTAATTCCCAAATGCCAAGCGAGATGCAGGGCTCCGCACGGAGCAGAGTCCAGAGTTGAGTCATCTGCTCCTCTTGGGCCATGTCGTGGAGGTTAAAACTAAGGAAGCAGGCCCCAAAGTAGAGACCAACAAACATGCAGAACAGGATGTTAGCCGAAATGTTGGGTAGCCATAAGAGGGCATTAGGTTCATCAATGCTTCAATGAGAAAGAAGAAGTAAGAGACGCGAGGCAAACGAAAGCAGACACCGGCAGGCCCAGACTGGCAAGCAGCACGCAAAGTTGGATAGCCAACAGGAGTTGCATCAACAGCAGGCAAAGTTGCGCAAACATAAGTTTGAACAGGTCTCCGCATCGTTCAAGTCCACCGCTTCCAGGGGCAGGATTGTCTGCTCCAAGTCCGCCACCTCAGTGACCTCCAACCCGGACAGAAGCCTCTTCCTGTCTCCCAGCCAGGCACCCTCCATGGAGAATCCCCGCACTCGTCCACCGGCCTGACAGCACGCAGTTCTTAAATGACTGCAAGACGTTGCAGCTGGCCAGTGGCCTTCACGATGAGCTTGACAAAAGTCCGGTTGGCCAATCGCCTGTGGTAGGCCATTCCGCTCTGGAGCTTCATGTCTGCCTCGCAAATTGCAAACGACCATATGAATGAAACCACACAAACCACACGTCACCATGCGCAAGCTGCATGTGTGGCCAAACCTGGAGGGCTGCAATCAGGGCCGTCAGGTCGCAGCTCCGAAGTCCTTGGAGCCGGTAAGCCATGATGCTGAAGCCAATCGCCACCTCTGCCAGGGCTGTGCACATTGGAAATGCCTTGGCGGATGCTGGGACTTTTCAGTCAGGAGGCGTCTGGATGGGAGAACTCCGCCTGCTCGCTGGGCTGGTCCTGCGTGTTGGAGACATCGCTTTTGATATCATCCTGTCACTCGGGCGAAGCCGTCCTTTCCAACAAAGGGCACGGAGAGCAGCTGCCGCGAGCGCGGCGCATTCTCAGACGCCAGCTGCCTTACGTTCTTCATTGGATGCTTCCTCAAACTTTTATTCCCTGTAGTCTTCGAGGACTATGCACTCAGTCGCTTCACCTGTGCAGGTGAGGCCACTGCTGGACTGAGGGGACGACTCTGTTGAAAGGAGACCATAGGAGACGCGGTGGACCTGGCATCCATGCTACGCCAGTATATCTTGGGAAGCCTCCAGCAGAATACATGTCAATGTGCTCATCCCTTCAGGGCATCGCACAGCTTCGCCTTCTTCAGCAAAAAGGGCAAGAAGGAGTGGAGCCAGCGCAATGCCAGATTGAACAGTTGCGCACCAGACTCCCTGCCGGAATCATGTAAAATGTACATTTCAGTCATGGATTCCCTGCAAGCACGCATCTGCGCAGATAGATGGCATAGCGCGTTCCATGATCATGGAACCGACGTCTCCCTTTTTTTTGTTTGCTGCTCTGATGCTGAGCCCTTTGTAAGCCGTGACCCTCGGTTCTTGCCTGTGTTTGTGTTGCTGCGCAGCCTTCAAAGACTTTGGTGTTCAGGCTAAACGCCGAGTCCCGCACCGCCGGAGCTGCTGGGCAACGGCCGCATCCATGCGGTCATTCGGATGTCGCAGCACGCGTCGCAGCTCCGTAGGAGTGAGCCTCGGACGAACCAATAGTTTGATGTCTGGAAAGTTGCGATCTGTTCTGGGAATCTGACCCAAGAGTACCATTGTGAGACTCCAGGAAGAGAGCCATCCAGTTCGCAAGTGGAGGCAGGAGATTGGACTCATAGAAGCCTGAGCACTTGAAAGCCCCAAACTATAATGGAGCAAACTGAGCATCTACAGCGTTTCTACATAGCTGAGGTTCTGACTCTGGGAGTGCAGAACCAGGTGTGGGCTGAGCCGCACCTGCCGCGCCTCGCAGCCGACCTTCAGCTCATTTGCCAGCTGCAGGAGGGAGCTGGCTGCCTCCTAGCAGAAAGTGCATAAAGCATGTTTGGGAGCTGTTTTGGGATAACTGTCACTGCTGTAGCTAACCAGCCTGGCGGTCGCTGAAGGACACAGCCATGAGCTTTGCTATCTGCTCAGCTGTTGGCTCTGGCAGCTCAATCGCCGCACTGGCCGTGAAAATGGCATCCAGCAGGTGGAAAGGCAGCTTCCCTCGTAGGCAATTGCCGTGGTCGAAGCGCCGCAGGGCCGTTTGCTTGGCCGAGTCGACGAGGTCAACGGGCCGCTTGGCTCCCATGGGCCAGTTCAGCTCGCTCTTTAAGGGGTCCAACAAAAGGTCCACCTGACAGTCGGTAAAACAGAAAGAGTCAACCAGCGCGCATGGCTCAGGCTGATCAGGATTTGGACAGCAAACGCAGGGCCTGGCCTCATCGAGAAGCAACACGCTCCGATGGAACATGCGCAAGACCTGTGCGCAGGCATATGCTTCTGCCTCCAGGAGGCGGGTCCTGTTTGAGTTTTGATCGCTCTTCCACCACCGCTTTGAGGAGCCAGATACCAGTTCTTCCATTTGACTCAGCGACTGGAGGAGGCTCAATACCAAACTCTTCAGAGAGGTAGGCTCTGCCACCACAACTGCCTTACCCCGTCTTGCAGCCTGAGACAGATGCAGGGGTGGAGTGGGATTGGCTTGTGTAACTACGCCTTACTCCTGCAACCCGTGCGCCTCCAGCTTGTCAAAAAGCCCCCGGTCCGCATGTGATGTTCGGCCAAACTTGAAGGTGATGACAGCGCGGGGGGCCACTGGCGAAGAGAAGCATTTGGTCAAGACCGAGCGCGTCATTTCGGCCAAGCAGGCCGGCATGCAGGAACAGACTAACGACCTACCATCTGCCAGAATCAGCGCCAGCAGAGGTGCAATCACAGTTGTCTTCCCGTCTCCCATGATCATCTGGTGCGTCATTGACCTACCCGCCTTGGCGTTGTGGAGGAAGGTCCCCAGGATGCGTACCTGTGTCTCTCGCAGCATGATGTCGAAGAGAAACTCGAAGACCAGCAGCCGAGGGTCGAAGAGTACCCAAGACCCATTAGCTCGACTGTGGTGACGTCTGGCCAGCAATTCCTCACTCAAGGCTCGCACTTTGAGTGAGATGATGAGTGGCTCGCTCCGCCTGCTGATAGCACTTTGAAGGTCCAAGGCTTTTTCCATGGCACGGGTAACTTGGCCAACTCGTACGATCAAGGCCAATGCCTGAGCTACCTTCTCAAAAAGAGGACTCAGCTTGTCCTCCTTCATCTCCTGGTTGGCTCTGTACAATGCGTCGCTGCAGGTGGGCTCTGAGGCCATGAGGGCAGCCACCAGACTGCTAAAGCTCAGCTGCACAGCTACGCCACAGCGACGCCAGAGCCAGTCAGTAGCACTGCCACAGTTTGCTTCCTCCACAACCTCCATGATCAGGGTCGTGGCCTGGCGTGTATCTTCCTGGCCGCGGCTGCGAAGTGCATCGACCAGTTTGGCCAGGCGCGGGGGCTGTACCACCTGCTCCTGCACGGTCTCGCGGGGTGCTGGATTAGACAAGAAGAGACCCAGCTCGCCGAGCAAACGGCTCAGCGTTCTTTGGGCTGGAGGTAAAGCCACGAAGCGAAAGTTTGGATCCGCATGAGGCCCGGAAAGCTTCTGTAACCACAGCTTGAGTAGTTGGCAATTCGTCTTCTTACCGTCGTTCACATCATTATTGTTGTTCTCAACTCCACTGCAAGCACCTTCAGAGAAGTTACGCTTGAGCTGCAATGGGTCCCGGCCACAGCACTCGTTCACAATCTGTGCAAGAGGGCATGAACCCAGACAAGACATGCTCGAAGTCTTCGCTTCAAATGCCCTGCTGCTACAGTTCACATCTTCTGTCAGCGGCGGCGCCCATTGTCGGCGATGGCCAAGGTCTCCCGGATCAATCACCAGCTTGCCATCAGCTTTCTGGAATGGTGCAAACTGTGTCCCTGGCCGAAGGTACTGCTGACACTGCTTCAAGTGCTTAACGGCATTCTTGAGCAAGCGTGAGGAGGAGTCGTGGTCCACCTTAATGAGAGCGCCCACCTGCACGCCCAAATGAACGCACTACACCACAGATCTAGGGAAATGAAATACAGAACGAAGCGAATAACATCATCTAGATCGATAGTAGCTCCTGATGATAAAATTGTCGGGACCCATTCAAATGAGTATGACGGAAGATTTGGAAACTCTTGTTGAGGATTCCTATGATCATCGTCCTGCCATTCTAGTAAGTTTGCATATTGCCATTCTAGTAAGATTGTATCCGACTTCATGGGCCATCATCTGATCTTGCGTTCCATCTTCCCCCCCTTTGACACCTCCCCGCCTGCCACACACGTTTGGCCGCGGCGGAGCCCCATAGTGGCATCTCGGCGCGGACCTATACATACATGAAACTGCATGAAACGGTTTAAGTTGGATATCCTATACTAGAAACCCTGCATCCCTGGCAGGGGGGTTGAATAGGAAGAGCAAATTTCGACGTGGCCCGGAGATGCCATTTCTGCCTGGACTATGGTACTTACTAAGGGGTGGTTCGGGCTGGGATAGAGCACCTCAACTATCCTGGTGATTAAGCTGGGTTCTCCATGTTAGGAAGCTAACGTACCGTTTTGGAGGCGATGCGAAGTTGGTTATCCTGAAGTATGATGAGAGATACACTCACCATCGCCCCTCCGAAAGCCTGCTGCGTACGCTCACCAAGGCGATAGCAGAAGCCCTTACTTCATGTCATAGCCCTAATTATTACCATGCGCCCCAATAACCCTACGATAACTTGTTCCTCTGAGTGCCTCCTCATTGGCATCCAGGGATCGGAGAACAGCCATCTCCATCTGCGAGGCGCCGTTTGTGGCCGTGCCTTCAGCAACTTGAAGAAGTTGGGGGCTTCCCAGCTCAGCTCGTGATGTGACTAACTGCCCTGAATTTGTTGCAAGAAGTCACTTCCCAACTTGTGCAGGAAAACCTTCTCCAACTTGCTTGGTGTGAACCTCCCACATCTTCTTCACTTTCCCGCCTTCAGCCACCAGGCGCAGGAGGGCTGAGGCCAGGACGCTGGGCTTGTCCTGCTCGGGCTGACGTTTGTTCTGTGCATGAGGCCTTTTTTCCTTCCGTCTTTCGGTTTAGGGAAGTTGCAAGGGTGTAACCCCTTGACGCGAAGTCCTGGCTAAAGGGTCTAAGTAACCAACACGGGGTTTTCCGGGGTCTCATTTAATTTCTGCGTCATAGAGACATATTGCGTGACTGTGTTTCGGGTAGTGTTTATGCTGTACTACGGATTTCTTCTTACCCTCTCTGTCGCCCGCACCTGGCAGGTCAGGGCTGCACTACTACGGAATGTAACGACTCTGGTATCGTTACGTTAGTTCTGATTCAAGCCCCTACAGTGCTTTTTAAGGCAGAAACCCTCAAACAAATGCAGTCCCCCGAAAATGAAGGAACTAATTGCGAGGCGCCCAATCATAGATTCAGCTTCATTATTCTGGTTGCGGAGGCTCTAAAGCAAACTAAGGTTGACTTCTTCTGCGAGCATTTACGTGATTTCATCGAGCGTAGGAATCAACTGATCTGGATTTGCTGCACTGCAGATGTCTGCTGGCTGCAGTTGTGTGGCGGAATGTCCTCAGGGAGCAATTTCACCTCAAGGGTGCCCGTGAAGAGCTCGTAGATCAGGAAGAAAGATCCTCGGAAGGCGAAGAGTCCGCCAGAGGAAGCGGCGCCCGTGCGCCCAAAGAGCGCGTCTAGGAACCGCAGAGCAGCGCTGCCCTCCACAACTGGGCGCTCCCCTTCAGGCCTCTGCAAGGATTGGCTTTGCTCAAACTTTGTGGCACACAACTTCAGCTGCTGGCTGGAGCTATCTGGCTGACATTTGGAGCACATGTGTTAGCCGCGCCTGCTGTATGTCAACCCTTGCATCGAGCAAGCCATTCGCTGAAACAGCCCCACCTTGCCAGGGGGAACACCATTAAGTCATTGAGAAGCACATGCCCTTGGTTGCTTCCACTAGTTTCTGAAGGCATCCCACACCTCTCCAAGCACGTGGCGGTACGCCACACGATCAAAGCCTGCATCCTCCAGCTGAGGCCCCAAGGGGGCAGTCATGGACTTCTGAGCGCCCGATTGTTGGGATGCCTCAAGCATTTGTTCCCACCAGGCATTGCAGGGAACAGCCGCACCGAGCTCCTGACGAGAAGATGCTCCAACATCTGCCGCCGTGTCGCAAGCAATGGCAGGGAAGCCTGGAGCAAGCTATGCAAAAAATATCAGGCATGGGATCAATTGTCCTGCCTGGTTTACGACCTCTGGCAAGTTCTGCAGCACCAACTCGCCGTGGGCTGGGAGTGCGCAAGCTGCGGAGACCAAGTGCCTCGGACTCCACACAAGAAGTCCAAAAGCACGGAGCCTCAAACCCCCAACTCCTGGCCTTTTTGATGAGTACTCCATCAGCTGCTTCACCACATCCCAGGGTGGCCGGGCTTGCTTCCCAAAGGCCAAGCTTGCGAGGGTCAGATGCAGCCTGCAAGCCACAGCGTCGGCGTGGCACTCGCCCTGCAAGACGCTCAAACCTCAGGACACTTTCGCGAAGGAATTTCTACATGCATATATACAGTACACATACGGAGAGCGAGAGAGAGAGAGAGAGTAGGCCATCTTAGCTCGCGGCATTCCCAAAGCTGCCGTTCTTCCGGCCCCGAGACTTCAGAAATTGCACTTGCCATGGCCGCAACTTCTTGGAAGTGCCAGGTCAAGTAGCGGCACAGAAGCAGGTAAAGGCCAGCCGCGGGCGTCGGCGTGAAGACCATCATGCCACATCGATGCAAGGGATAGTGATAGTACCGCGAGCCTGACTGTCAAACTCTCTACCGGCAACTACGGGCTATGGCTAGGTTTCACGTGTAGCAAGGAGGCCTTCTGCTAGGTTCGCCATCCAAGAGGGCTTGCCCCGGCGCAGCACCAGCTGACCCGGCAAAAAGCGCTCAGCTGGACTCAGGGATTCTGCCCAGGGCCTTACCGGCTCTGAGAGTGCCGAGGCCAGCACAGAGAGATCCCCAGCGCCCGTCTCCAGCAAGACAGTGCCACCTCCCCATTGGGCCAGCAGCTGGTGGACCAAGTTCGAGGTCAGCTGTGGCCGCTCCAAAATCCTCAGGTCTCAGACTCTTCAAATTAAAGTTTGCGGCTCCTCCGGGTGGAGAAGCCATTGCTCAAAATTCGGCGTCCCTCGTTTAATCTTTAAGTTGGAGACTCACCTCCCACTTGACAGTCCAACTTGCCTACCCTAAAGAAACTGACGAGGGGTAGCAGCTACTCAAACTCATAGAGGGAAACCGAGAGTCCAGTATCCTGCCAGCTGGTCACAGTGGAGTCGGCCATCCTCAAGCGATGCGTAATGAGGAATTAAGGTGTGGGGTATTTCTCAACTTGCTTCCGCGTGTTTTTCTCCCTTTCTTCCTTCTTTCCTTCCTTACTTGCTTCCATGCTTCCTAGCTTCCTCCTTCTCCTGCTTCCCCCTTAAAGCCGTCAGACTCAACCAAAAGCACCAGAGAGTCCTGCATCGTGAAAGAGAGCAGCAGCCGAGGTAACTCCACACGGTGCACCCCGCCAGATCCATCAGCCTAAGAACTACTCAAAATCTTGGCTCCTTCATGGGCCTTCTTAGTTGGTTTCAACGTTGTGACCATCTCATTGTTTCGGGGTAGACGAAAAGCTATCACATTGTTGTTAGCACAGTTGTTGCCGTTTGCATCAGGATGTACGAGCATTCTGGATGTCGACTGGGAACAACTACAAAAAGACACTAGCGCTCTCACCACGGCGGAATTCTGGATGTCAAAGTGATTATTACCGAGGCATGTTTGTTCAATTGTAGAACAGAGATTTTCATAATCTGATTGAAGGGCCTGTTCATGCCAATATTCTGCAATCACCGCAGTGATGCAACCGTCTGCAGCAACGCAATGCCCAAAAGTGCTTAGAGTGGTAGGTCTCCTGTCAAATTTTTAGTCAGAGTCAACAGTGCTCGGACTCCAATGCACGGAGTTGCAAACACGCTGCTATTGTGAGGAGGTTGGCGAGCATTTAGCTTTTCATGAGGAAGCTACGTAGTGTCTGCGACCTTCTTTCTAACTGTGTAGCACAATGGACAAACAAAACCATGTGCCATCACATCTCAGAAACACTTCTGCTCCACACCAGGATGTGCGAGAGGTTCTCAAGGCGCGCCAGCACCATGGTCAAGCCACACATCCCTGACTTTGAGTTGACCAGAAACTCGGGATCGTGTCCACCTGGAAGCCTGTCTCAAGGCGATGTCTTTTCAAATTCTTGTGGGGTCCACGCCAAGCAAACATTGTGGCTCATTCAACCACACCCCTTCCCCCCTCCCACCCAAAAAAAGTTTAAACTGACAACCACCTGCTGCGAAACATTCTATGCAAGTGTCCAACGGCGAGTTGCTTAAGGAGTACTTCAAATGTTCATGGGAAGGTATATTCGAAGAGCTTTTTCCTAGGAATACCGAGTACCAACCGCCCTAACAAGCTGAGTAGCACAAAGAGCTCATGCTAATCGCACAAAGAGCTCATGCTAATCGCAAGCCTTATTACCCTTAAGTTAAACCTATATTAAGGTTATATTAGGGTTATATTGGGATACTGGAAAAGAAAATGGACACCACTATAATGGGTTATATAACCCTAAAAAGGACTCCGTAGTCTAGTGGGGACGACAGCATATTTGGGGACATGGACCCCAAAATGCAATCGTCCTTATCATGGGGACCAAACTCCTAGTATCCCCCTTAATAACCCCATGTAACAATCCCCTATATAATCCCTTATATAACCCCCTTTCAGGAGTTTGGACTATGGCTCAAATGATACCTAGCGCCGCAAACGCTTTTTAGCGGCCTTCGCCGCTCCACCGTGGCAAGCGCCCCCTCAAAAGGGCCCAGAAGGTTGCTAGGCCTGGGGGCCGAAACAAAGAAACTCGATACAGACATTTACGATTTAGGATTTAGGATGTAGCGTTTGGAGTTTAGGATTTAGGATTTAGGGATTTGGGATATGACTGCAGTAGTGGAGAATCAACTGGAAAATCAAATGGACAATGAAATGGAAACTGTGGAAATATGGGGGGTCATACCCTAGAGGTCGAAGTGGCCGTTTGTGCTTTGCAAAAGCACTCGTCAAACTGGTACTTTGTACTGGAAGCGAATTTCAAGACCACTAACCATTCAGAAGGGCGCGAAGTCGAGAGCATGAAAAGCCCGTGAAAAAAAGCGTGAGAAGAATCCTAAAAAACTGTGAAAAGGCCGCAGAAAACTGTGAAACTTCTGCTGCTGAAGCATCAACGCACTCTTGTCATTGCTGCAAGTTAATCACATAATTCCCCAGAGATGCTTCCAGTTAACCGTGCGCTTAACCGAAACGACTCGGTTACACCACCACTTTGGAAGCCCATGGTATATAGGGAGATATAAGGGAAAGAAGCGGAACAAGTGTTATTATGGGGTGTTGTGGCACCTATTAGCCTGTCGATGTTTGCCCAACTTACAACTATAGTTGTGCACCCCAAAGCTTTTCTGCGTGATGTACGTACCATAGTTGGCATACCCAAATGGGCCAACTTCTCAGACATGCCTTTCAGAGACAGCCAGGTACTCACATCATGCTCCATTCCCTTTGGTGCATGTGTGGGGGTGTGATGAGGGTGCATAAGCTGCTGCGAATCAAAGAGGACCAAAGGTGATGTTTCAAATCAGTGCTCATAATTGGAGTCCTTAGATTGCCGACACGATTTGTTCTGGGGTGCATTGCAGTGTGGGAAGACCTCCACTGAGACCTCACAAACAAGAGCCCAAGTTTATGAGTTTTTCGACAGAGGGCTGTCTGACACGCATCTTCACGATGAGCTCGGTTGGTTGGTCCGAGGTGGCCCGTTCCTCTCCAACCAGCACCTCCCCGTCGGCCTTGAGACAAAAATCAATGTAGAGGACAATGTAATGAACAGTCCTTTAGTGCCGTTCTCGTGCCCTTGGTTGGAACTATCTACAACATCATCCTGGTCAGAATGACAAGGACCTTACACCAACATAACGAGGCCGGCAGCAATGACAATCGTATGATTCCTACATTGATTACTATAATCATGAGGAGGTCCTTTGCATCCTGCGTGCTCCAATTTCTGGTCTTAAAAAGCCGAGGTCCTGTTTTTTGAGGGATGGTGCCTGTGGCGTGTGATACCCTGGTATGTTACAACCATGTTGGGTGAGTATACTGTATACCATGCTTACTGGTTCCCATGCTCAAGCAAAGTGTCCACTTGCCTTCTTCACCCCAGAAAAATGTAATCCCCGTTGCTTCATGATTCTGAGAATATCCTTGCCCAGCCTCCTTGCTTCGCCAGAACTTGTATCGATCCAGGAGGGCATCGGGGAGCAAGCCCTGAAGCATCTCTTGCGGGATGTACTCTTCCTGACCTGACAAGTCTTTCGTCTCTATGGATCCCCGAGAAATACTAGCTTGTTGACTAGAACTATGGGACTCGAAAGGTGTCATGCGTTCTGCAAGGGCCTGACCCCGTCCTCCTGTCCCAACTACCTATTACGACTCACGAGATCAGCTGCTGATATCACAGCGCAGGCAGCCAACAACCTGCATTAGCCCTGCCATCCAAGTGCATCCAGGCAGCCGCGGGAGCTTGACGTCCGGAAGATGCGCACAGAGAAGCCTTGTGCCACTTGTATGTCCGGGTGGCCCTTGCCCAAACTCCATCCTCACAGGGTGATCCTACCATTTGTCTATCCATAGTGATGATTGGCATGAGTTCATGACTGCTTCGGCTGCTGTGCCGCCACCACCCACATGATCACGACCATCATCATCATCATCATCATCATCATCCTCAACAACGACATCATGCTCAGGTCGAAAGGTGAGCGAGGCCGTGTCCCTGTCTGAAGGACACGGCCGTGCAGCACCAGCTGGTCCAGCCAATAGAATGACCATGATTGCAAGAGGAGCTTGAACTCATTGAGCCATGATTACTAGCGACCTAACGTAATTTGCAAAGTGCGATGATGAAAAAAACACTTTTGGTATCCTTGTGAGAATCAGCCTAGATAAACGTTCCAGTTGGGTCCTGCATTTGCGCTGGAATACATCGGCAGCTCCGCGCCACTGGGACTGTGGAAAGACCAGATCATATCTGAGGTGAAGACCAACTTTCTAAAGATATGTCGGCCCTGACCGACCAGGTCATAGATCTCCACATAGGCTGGGCTCCTCCAAACAGCAATCTCCTTGATGCAACTTTCTTTGCAGCCTTCCCTGGGAACTGCCAGTAACCAGGCATCCGGGAAGGCCGGCTGCTCTTGTTTTGATGCCTGGTAGTAGTAGACCATGTCTGGCATCTCCAGCCTTGCCAGCAAAGGGTCCAGCACCTGAGAAAGTGTTGCAACAAGGCGTTCTCTATACCCACCTCCCTACACTCTCTATACTCTCTCTATTCTGCGTATCTGGCCTCTGCTAGCCAAACGGCTTTCTCTCCCACTTTCTGCAGGCTGCGCGTGTTGAGCCACTGCGGCAAAGCATCCTCGCCAAGCTTCTCAGCATCCCAGAAATGCACCTGCCAATGAAGACAAGTCTTCATTCTTCAAGGAGGACCTCAAAGCAGAGCCTCGAAGTTCTGACCGACCAGCTCGTAACAGGTTCGATGCAAAGTCTCCTCCCGCAAAACCACCTGCATGTGCTCCATGTTCCCGCAGGCCTGAGGCTTAGCAAAGCTTAGCGGTCTAGCGAAGCTTAGCTGAACGAGCGACTTGCCGAGACCAGGCCTCTTGCAGGTGTGGAGCCAGCAGCACCCGCTCCGGCAGAAGTTGCAGTCCAGCATCCCGGCAGTGGTAGCGGCCCTGGTTGACCGACACCACGATCTCCGCGCCCGAGCCTTCAGAGGTTTTATGGTAGGTTCGCAGCAGCCACTGGCGATAGGTCTCTCCAGGAACAGCTGTATCTGGGCTGTGCTCTGTGCGGATGGGGCTGGATGCCCAGTTGCCAGGTTCATGGGGCATCTCCCGCCACACACGATTGGCATCCGGCATAGTGATGTCCGCCGTGCCTTTGCATGTTACAACGCGCTCCACGTTCTCCATCACTATCGCAGCTTCCTTGACATGCTCGCGCAGCCATGTTGCCACCGGTGTTCGCCAGCGCTCAAAGACATCGAACAGCTCAAACTCACCAACCCCCAACAGATGGGAGCTCGATGAGCGCTTTGAAGATGGTTTGAAGCTGTTCATGATTACAAATACTTGGGACGCCATGAAAAGTGAAACATCCCGCACATTCTCTGGCTGGTGGTTCTTGAAAAGAAACGCGATGTGTGCATGAACCCGAGCAGCCGTATCCAGCTTTCGCGGTTTCCGCTTTACCGCCTCAGGGGGTTCTCAGGATAGTCACGGGATTTTAAGGACACGGCTGTCACGTGCCTGGGAGGCCCACTGGAGCATCATTTCGAGACCCGCATTGCGCAAGACCCCGCTCAGCAGCTTCACGCGTTCCTGCAGGATCTCAAGCTTATCCTGTCGAGGTGCAACCTGCCGAGCACCGACTCCGGTTGTGGCGCCCCGAGCCTGGGCAGCCAGTGGTTTGAAAGAGTTTGCCACAAATTGAAGTCACTGTGGCAGTAGTGCTAAGCTGCAGGCGCGTTGGAGCACCAACTTTGCATGAGACTCAACGCGGACAGCCAACCGAAGGATGAAGAGGATGAGGTTCTCTCTGCCTGTGCCTGGTCGCCCAGGATCCTGCTCATAGGCAAATTGTAGGAGCTGCAGCACGGAGTCCAGCACAGGCTCGGGCGAGTATTGTAGCTCGTTTAGGAGCAGTCCGGCCCGGGTAGCGGGCGAAGAAATGCCCTTGGCGGGGATGGTTGAAGGAGGCCCGGCCATAGACTCTTGGTGTGTCAGCCACCTTAGTGCTGGGGTGTGACCATACTCAATTCTGCAGAAAACTCTTGACAAGGCTTTGGGCTCAGCCTTCAGAACACCGTGCAGTATGAGAGGTTCAAGATCAACCTGGTGCTATTTGCAGCTGGAACTGCGGGCCAGGCTCAAAGAGCACAGCATCAAGTACGGCCTGCCATCCAGGAGAAACGGTCAGGCAACAGCGATAACTAACAAAAACATAACAACATCCCGTACAGTATCGCTGGGTATCGCTTTCACCCAATTTCTGGCCTGAAGCTGGGGTGCCTGCAAAAGCGTGATGCGCTGCTTGTCAGAAAAGAAGTTGAGGACCAAAGGCACTCGGACGTATGGGGCAACCAAATATGTGAGGAGGAGCTCGCTCTCTGATGCCTTCAGACTGCCTCCAAAGCAGGGCACCGACTGCAGGGCCAGGATGTCCTCTTCCGTCTCGACTGCAGAGCCCGCAAGGAGGCTTGGGTTGGCTCGGCTCAGTGCCCGGAAGTTGGAGGAGTAATTCTCCGACTGCCCACCCAGCCAGCGCTTCAGGTTCCGGAGCCCTTGCCAGCGCCGGCTCTTCCACCAAGCTTTGAAGCCTCAAAGCCATTAAAAGAGAAAGCAAGCAGGCTACAGTTAAAGCTTTTAGCTGAGGGGCTGAAGGCCTGGGTATTTGGCAGAACTCCTTCAAAGCCTTGCACCGCAAAGGTCCCCTCCTCAGCGCCCTGGCCCTGGCCCGACTTAGACCGACCCCGGCACCAACGCCAGACGAGCGGAGCACTGGTGGCTGCCAAGAGGTCACCGCGAGGGGTAGACGCCTGCACCAGGCTCTCAAAGCAGCAGGATCAGTTCTGCGCAGATCCGCGCAGAACTGTTCTAATTAAGGCGTATTTAAGGAAAATGTCTGCTTTCATCAGGGTTGCTAGGGCGTGGGCCTTGTCCGGCTCATCGTCAACTGGAGGCAGCAGGAGAACCTTCCATAGGAAGACCGCCTTGGAAGCAGCCGAGAATACGTCAGCATCTTTGGACTTTTCAAGCATAAACGTATTCTGTACGAGGAAAGTCTAGTCAGTTTCACTCGGCCTGGAGTTCTCTGGCCTTACACTTCCCGATGAGCTTCAGTGAGGTCCAAACAGAACCAAACGAAACCCTACTTAACCAACACCAAGAATTCTCAATAAAATTTCTTACAATGCCTATACAGCCCAAGCACAGCCAGTGTAAGTAAGGTCTGCAAAGCAGCCAGATCCTTCTTGCACCCCTTCCTCTTAAAATTGGTCATTCTACATTGGGTAAAACTAGCCCCTCTATAATCCTGAACAGGGACCCCCTAAAGCCCCCTTTCGGGAACCTCAACATAAACTAGGCGCGTCCCGGAACCAAGCCAACTCCGGGTAGAAGTCCAGCAGCTGGGGCTGCTCCCCACTAAGCAGGAGGTGCCTTCCGGTTTTCTTGGGATGGTGAGAGTAGTTTAAGGTTCTGTACGGCACTATAGAGAGTATGCAACGGTTGGGATGATCACGTTGGGGTCCTATTTGTCATTTAGATGGAGGCTTTCGCAAATGCGACCAATGGCGAAGGGTCTAACCCTAAACCCTAATCCCTAAAGAGTAGTTTCCATTTTC